ATTTTGGGAATTCCGGACTCACTGTGGGCCTCCACCAGCTCCAGCTGCATGGCGTAGGGCACCAGGGGCTCCGGCAGCTCCGAGAAGAAACTTTTCATGGCTCCGGCCACGGCGTTGACGGTGAAATCCTTCTCAGCCAGGTCCAGGCCGTGGTCTGGGGGAAATCCAAAAAAAATTTCGGGATTTTTGGGGGTAGGAAAAGTGGGAATCGCGTCCTGACATTCCCAGAAAAAAATCGGGGTGAAAAAACGGGAATTTCGGCCAAAAAAACGGAGTTTTTGTGAGAAAAATGTGAATTTTTTTCCCTAAAAATCTGAATTTTTGACACAAAAATCCCTGGGATTCTGTGGGATTTTGGGGCAGGAAAAGTGGGAATCTCATCCCAAAATTCCTTGGATTGGGGAAAATTCCCAGAAAAACTTGGGGTGAAAAAACGGGAATTTTGGCCAAAAAAACAGAGTTTTTACGCAAAAATTTGGATTTTTGTGCTGAAATTCCGATTTTTTGTGCCAAAATCTAGAATTTTTGCACCAAAAATTCGTGGAATTCTCTGGGATTTGGGGAAGGAAAAGTGGGAATCTCATCCCGAAATTCCCTGGGATTGGGGGAAATTCCCAGAAAAACTTGGAGTGAAAAAATGGGAATTTCGGCAAAAAATCCGGAATTTTTGCGACAAAATTTGGAATTTTTGCCGCAAAATTTGGAATTTTTGCACCAAAAATCCCTGGAATTCTCTGGGATTTGGGGCAGGAAAAGTGGGAATCTCATCCCAAAATTCCCAGAAAAAAATTGGGAGAAAAAATGGGAATTTTGGCAAAAAATCTGGAATTTTTGTGACAAAATTTGGAATTTTTGAGCCAAAATTTGGAATTTATTTCCTTTTTTTGTAGTTCTTGTGGATTTTTGGTGAATTTTTGGGATTTTTTTAAAATTTTTGATTAATTTTTTTTAAAGTATTTTTAATTTTATTTTTATTTTGTAGAATCTTTTGTGATTTTTTTAGTGATTTTTTGGGATTTTTTGGGGGATTTTTTTGGATTTTTATTTTTTTTAATTTTTTAATTTTTTGTGGTTTTTGGTTATTTTGGGGGTTTTTTGGTGATCTTTTTCGTGAATTTTTTGGTGATTTTTGTGGATTTTTTTATTTTTTTGTGGTTTTTTGTTAATTTTTTGAATTTTTAATGACTTTAAAATTATTTTTTTAGTGATTTTTTGGCATTTTTTCAGGTTTTTGGGGGGATTTTTTTGTGATTTAATTTTTTTTAAATTTTTAAAATTTTTTTGCATTTTTTGATTATTTTTGGGGTTTTTTTGTGATTTTTTTTGTGACTCTTTGGTGTTTTTTTTTCATGAATTTTTTGGTGATTTTTTTCGTGAACCCTTTGGTGATTTTTGTAGATTTTTTGAACAATTTTTTGTGGTTTTTTTGGGAATTTTTTGAATTTTTAATGACTTCTAAATATTTTTTTTGTGATTTTTTTATGATTTTTCTTTAGTGATTTTTCTTTAGTGTTTTTTTTGTGATTTTTGTGTGATTTTTGGGATTATTTGGGGATTTTTTCAGGGATTTTTATTCATTTTTAATTTTTAAAAATGTTTAAATTTTTTGGGTGTTTTTTGGGGTGTTTTTGGGGTATTTTTGGGTGTTTTTGGGGCTCACTCTGGTCGAACTGGCGCCGCAGGGATTTTTTCTGATTTTTTTTCAGATTTTTGGGGGTTTTTGGTGGTTTTTTTCGTGAATTTTTTGGTGATTTTGGTGGAATTTTTTTTTTGGCGCTTTTTTTGTGAATTTTTTTAATTTTTAATGACTTTTACGTTTTTTTTTT